CAGTGTGTAGAGTGAGAGATTCTCCCTCCTTCACTGACACTTTTTCCACGTCCCCAAACACACCTGCAGAACAAACCGAAACAGCTACTTTATTTTTTAATATCAGTAAACTACATTATAACTGCAATCAATCATTTAGGATGATGCCAATTGATGTTAATACAGCCCACAAAACAATACATAATAATATTAAATATGACAGAATTATTCCCATCATATAATGTCAAACACATATAAGCAAACTAGAGACTTTTTCATGTCACAGAAATTGTGATGTGCTCAGGGAATAGACTTTTAACAAATAGCAGAGAATAAGTCAAATGGATATAAATGTTTATTTGACGTTTTCAAGACGAGTATATATGACCAAATATGAGGGCCATTCCACCGAATGGGTGCCATTTCTGTCCCCAGGATATTATATGTACAAATATGCGTAAAAATTAACTATAAAATACATTTTATTATTAAGCAAAGTGTCCTGCATATTAACCTAACTGCAAATGTAAAATATATAATTAAAAAAATGTATTCAATTATTAAAATCTACCTAAAACACTGGAAGTATAGCATTTGGACATGTCCCCAGTGTCGAACGCTACATTTTAACATGAAATATAATGTTTAAAATAATATTTATTTTGCATTTTTTTGTACATCCATATCCCACTTGTGCTTTAAATACATTTATTTCAAAATAAATCTATAATATTTTAGATCAAATACACATTTTAGTCGTGTCCCCAGGTTTTCACTCAGTCCTGTTACCCTAACACATTTCATTTAGGTATAACACATTTTAATTTAATCGTTTTTTTATTTACCTGTTTGTAAGCACAGTGCAGTGTTAATGTTCAAACTGTATTTACAATATTTAAGTGGCTGACAACAATAAATATTCTTATTAGGAATAAAACTGCCTCGTTTTTGAACTGTGCAGAGCTGTATCTGAATAGGTAGGCCTACTACGCTACTGTATTTTAATGTTGGTCATTATGGTGGTACTTGGAGATCCAAATATTTTCTGAGGTGGTACTCGATATAAAAAGTTTGAGAACCACTGACCTAAAGCATGTGGTCTCATTTTCTTTTCTGTATATTTGATGATATTGTAAAAGTGGCTGGATACGTCATTATAAATATACTGTCCTGTTACCTAAATTATTTCTTAGATGTTACTTGTTTATTTAAAAGAATCACTATAATTTGCTAAGTATCCTCATAATATCAGCATGTGGTTATATTATATGTATTTGCTCATTTTATCCTAAAATCTCAATCCTGTTACTTTCAGTCCTGTTACTCGTACTCATATATCCTATACTCATATATAGTAACTGAGTAAAAGTAACAGGAGTGAGTAGTGTCATCTGATTTATTAATGTAAATATTAGGCTACATCCATATTAATCTAGATAAATTTGAAAATGTAAATCATAAAAAAGTTTTGGCCTTCTATCTACACTGAGACAATGTTTTTGCCCAGAGAAAACTTATGGTTGTTCCTGCATTGCTGTTTTATATTACATTCCTGCAAGTATGACAGAAAATGTATTTGAAATTTCTGTCCTGTGGCAATTATATTAGACTCGTCATACATGGAATGGTGTTTGAGCGTGAACTGTGCTGTAAGAAAACAACATCCACAGAAAAAATGAATAGGCATTATTTGTCAAGTTTATTATTCTTAATAACTGCGAAAAACACAGTTTGGGTGGATGGGACAGCATCATTTTGGTTGATTGGGACAGTGCTTAAAGGCTTTGCTAATTAAGAAAATTATTTACCTTGTAATGGAACCATGATTGTATATGATCTGTGTGCCCTAAATAAGTGGTTTCCAACCTTTTTATTTATGTAAGCCCTAATCAACCACAAAAATATTCATGAACTAGCTAGATTTTTGCTAAAATAAAAATACTGAAACAGAAGCATTTTGAAAATAGAAGCATTATAGATAAACTTTTTAAAAACTTTTTAAGACTGAATCTAGTAATACACATATTTAACTATTCAAAATCTTTATTGGTCCATCTCAGGTAACTTTATTAAAAAAAAATAAAAAATTTTTAAGTGGAAGATGGATTAATTTTTTTCAGTCCTGTTACCAAAACTCTTATGTCTTTTAAAAAGCATGTTTAAAAATATGTCAACAAATTCCTTCATTTTCCCCTCAGGCACATGTTTATTTTGAAGAAATTGTTGGTTTGATCATAAAAAGAAAAATCACTATTTATCTACACAAAGTGTATTTTTCTAAAATACACAAACTAATTTTTTTATTTTAAAGGCGACTCAAACCTCAAGCTTATCAATTTTCTATGATGCAATTTATTAAATAATGGGATGAATGATGGACCAAACTTAATTTAAAAATATTGGTTTAACCTTTTTTTTTTTTTTTTT